GTCATCTAAGAAAATAAATAAATCGTCGTCTCAATTCCCTCTAGATTCGTCGTCCGCACCTCTCCGCGAACGTCTCAGGATCCGGCACCTATTCCCTTTCAATTCGTCTTCTAAGCCGCTTGAAATTCATCTTGCATGGACCCTCTCGCGAACCTCTGGATCCTTGATCTCTCTTCCTTTAAATTTTGCTCCTCGAAATAAGGCGCGCGGAGGTCTTGAATATTTTATATTCTCTCATTCTATCTTCCTGAGTAATCGAAATTCTTATAGGATTGCTTTTGATTCGCTGAGAGTGAGTACTGACTATTTTACGGTGGTTATAATTTCTGGATAATTGATCCTTCTGTTAATCTCTGCAGCGAGGCAAATATAGAGGATCGTATTCCATTGCTGATGAGGAATTTCAAAATATCTTTATTTATATAGATGAGGGCGAACGAAATCATGATATATTTCTTCATCTTGTCTTTGCCAAATTTAAGAGATATTTGGCTTTCTGATTATATCATGGCGTCGATCTCAATTGCGCTTCATCAAATCATCAAGATTGGGTCGCCTTCGAGGGGACTCGCATTTGCAATATCAATCCGGAAATCTTGAGATTGCTGATATTTTACATATGACCCTCTCTCCGGTCGCGTGCCTTTTGCACGGAGACGGAATTTGATATATAGGTCTACGTGCTCGCTAGGACTGATAGGAGCTATATCAACCAGCTGATCCCGCGATCGCGAGATCATTATTCTTTTCTGCATGCAGCGGGAAATCTTTGCAAATTTGCCTTCGAGCGTGGCTGGATCGAGGAGTAGATATGTCTCGCGGAATTCCCTATGGATCAAAGAAATTCGTGAAAACGACGAATTATTTTCATGCCAAGGATTCCTGTAGTGGCTCAGTCGCGCTCGCGGTCGGATGCGAGCGCGATGATTGGTGCTGCTCTTTGGCAGATATTTCAATCAGGATGGCAGGCGAGGATTGCCCAAGAAACGATCTTCTTCTTCGATTCCGAAGATATTGACGGCTCAACGCTGGAATATATGCGAATCAGACGATTCTTCTATTCTTATTCAATATATCGATACGGAAGAGATTAATCTGCTAGATATTCTCGAATCTTGGATTCTTCGTCAATATATGGAATTAGCATTTTTGTCTGCCGCCAGAGGGTCAAGCAGATATCGTAATAGATAGAATATATTATTTGGAGGAATAAGAATCGACGGAAATTTTAGATTCTATTTTCGATTTTATAGATAGAAGAATATCTAGATGATTTAAAGATTCTGATATTGAAAGGAAAATCTTTCGGCCTATTTAGCTTCTACCAATAGAAGAATCAATTGCGATTGATTGAGGATTATTATAATAGATAGATAGATGCGTTTTCGGAGCTTTTGACGATCGACGCTCCAGATGAGATTAATCTTTTGATCTCATTCAAGACGGTTGGAATTCCCTATTATCCGATTAGATCTTCTTGGTCTCTGCGTATTCTATTTGAGATTCGTATTTTAGGATGGATCGCGGATCATACGAAAGAAATTATTTGGGATTATTGGAGATTGCTCAGAGAATAGGAATATCATTGAGGGACGAGAATCGGCATATCATTCTATCATTCTTTTTCATCTATTATAAGAACGATCTCTGGAATAGAAGAATTTTGATTATCGTTCAATTTATCGAAATATGATCCGGGATAGAGAGTTGCGGCATCTTGATTATAAATATCATGAAATTTATCTGGGATATTCTTCTGGCGATACGGTCAAAATCGGGAATTATTCTCGTTGAATATTGATCGATTTGGATTCGCCTATCCGTTTTCGAAAGGAGAAGAAAATATTATTCTATCTATAAGATGCGTGCCGATAGATTCAGAGTCTTGTCTTCGAGACGATCTAAAATCATATTTATCTATATATGAATTTATAATTGATAATTTCATATTTTATTTGATCTTCTAGATCGAATAGATATCAATCTTTTTATATAGTTGTTAATTTGCGGATCTATTATAGATTTAATTCATCGAAATCACGAAATAGATTCCGAATAATCAATCAGATTTATTGAAATAGCTCAGATTTTATCATATAATCTATATATCTCAATAAATTGAATTTTCATATTTCTCTTTTATTTTATTATTTTGAAATAAATATCGAGAAATATATAATATACGATATATGAAAAATTGATATTTTTTAAATAGATTTTCTATTGAATTTAATATATATTGATATTTATATGATAGAATTTAATGATAATCGAAAAAAATTGAATATATATCTTAAGAAAATATTGTTATAATAAGTCATAATTTTTTGATTAATATGAAAATTAAAAGATCAGAAAATCCAATATTCATGATTTAATTCGAATCTATATATAATATTAGAATATTATCTCCCGTCGAAATACCTCAATATTAAGGCGCGACCATTTGCGGTCATTTCGCTCGCGCGCAGCCTAGCCTTTGAAATGCCTCCTGCGGGCTCCCTAGCGGCTCTAAAATCTCGGAGATCTCAGAGACCTTCGAAAAAGCTAGAGGCTCTAGAAGCTCCGAGATTGTTGGCGCAGACGGCGCGACCAAAAATATCAGAGATTTTTGGTCGCGCAGTCCTTGCCTCCGGAGCGCTTTTCCGCGTGATTTTTCTCTCTTTGGTTGTCTGCGCGGCTGCTCGGCGGGCGGCATAGACCCGGCACGGAGTACCAAAATCATATAATATTTTTCAGATTGGTCGTATCTGTCCACGGGGATTTATACGCTCTCCTGAGCCGCCGCGCAGATAGTCCAAAAGAGAGATTAATGGGGCGGAAAGACCGGGCTGGATGCGGGGGCCGCGTGACCCGAGATCTTCCGAGATTTCGAATCGTTTCTCTCCCTTCGGCTATCTGCGCGGCGGCTGGGGCGCAAGGGATAGATTCGGGGCTCTTATCTAAAATCTTTCAGAATTTATATAGCAATGGGGCGGATCGTTGCTTCGTCAGCTATAGCAAATACGAAATTATATATATAGATATTTCATCGATCTCTACGAGATTTTTATTCATCGGATTTCTCATTATAGATATTCTCAAATATGAATTTTCCGCTGTTATAGGCAGCAGGATAATTCTAATATAATATATAAGAAAGAAGGAGATCTAGAAATTATTTTGAGTGCGTAAAATTTCTGAATATTCCAGAAATTCATTTCTTTTTCGAAAATATTTATCTATTAGAGTTGACCAGCTGCCTATAATGCCAGAAAATATTTATTCAAGAAATCCTATAATGAGAAATCCGATGAGCAAATAATATATAAGATAGCATATGAAGCCCGATGAATTTCGACGATCAATCAAGATATGAGAACGCACGTGATCAAAAACGGCCAATCTAATAGATCCTGAGAGATTTTGGAGCGGCGCCTCGGAAGAACGTATAAATTTCCATAAATCAATATTCATAACCGATCTAGAAATTCTAAAAGATTTTGATTCTCCGTCCCGGGATTTACGTTCTCCTCCGATCAACCGCGCCGATGACCAAAGAGAGATAAATCACGCGGACTATATAAAATTGCAAGAGAATCTCGACGAATAATCAATATATAAGATCATACGTGACCAAAAACAACCAACCTCATAGATACTGAAAGATTTTAGATCTCCGCTCAGGGTCTATACCGAGCCGCCGCATCGATAATCGAAGAGAGAGAAATTGATCGAAATCTCGAAGGTCGTGCGGATCCCGTATCCTGTCCGGTCTTTTTCCTTCATTTATCTTTCTTGGGCTATCTGCGCGGCGGCTCGGGGCAACGTAAAAATCCCTATAAATAAATTTGATTAACCTCTAAAAAATTCTATTTATCAATCTTAGCTCTATATTCTCCGCCCAATAATCGCGCGATCATCCAAAGAATTAAGTAAATCATACAGAAAACCGCTCCGAAGCAAAAGGCCGCGCGACCAAAAATCTCGGAGAATTTTATTCAACCGTCTATTTCAAAAATCTCGTAAGTTATAGAACCTCTGGTTTTTCTGAAAAATTCTGAAATCTCCGAGACTTTTAGATCCTCTAGAGAATTAGTCCGTAAGAAATATTTTAATGCGAGTCGATAAGATTAAGCTGTGCGCGATCAATATAGTCGTGCCGTAATATTGAGGGCTAAATCGCAGAAAGTCGTAATATTAAATTCAAATATTTACCTGTATATACCTCTATATATAATAATAAGATAGAAGAACCAGAAATTGAGGGCGAAAATATTACCGAAATTAAGAATAATAATCAGAAAATATAATACTTCAAAAAATAATAAATAATCTTCGCCTCATCCTCAATATATATTCGTATAAACCTAGACCAAATCTATTCATATCTTCATTAAAATGAAATCTCCTATAAAATACCAAATTCCCGACCTAGACCAATTTTTTCTCTCAATAAACGCAGAGATTGAGAAACCGCCGTTCGACTAGGCAAATCATATTTTATTCCTTAGTGGGTCGTTTCTATATTATTAAATTATCCTTAGATGTTCCAACAAATGAAAGAAAATTTAGAAGATATGCTTTTGCCCCCGACCTTAGAGGAATTCAAAAGCACATGATCCTATATTTCCTCTAAGGGAAAGAAAAACTAGCATCCCAAATACTCAAATTGTTCGATCTTGGAAGTCGAAAGAAATCCTGTGCATTTGGGGCGAAACCTATTGTTGCCAATTCCCAATCTCTTCTGTCCTGTTTTGAGCTTCTTTGGCTAGCGTCGCTGCATTTCCTAGCACAACACATCTTTGGTGAACCAGCCTGCATCTTGGTCTTATTGATGAGCCAAGCACTGCACAACAGCAATAGCGCTGGGAATAAAACTCTTACGTGGCAAGGGGCAGGTTGACCCAAAAGATATATATAGTACACAACTGGCTGGGTGACACAAATGCTAGCTCATGGGAAATGCTCATGCCGCTGTCCACTTTAGCACGGGCATCCATCTCCCACGAACTTCAGCATCACTTCTCTTGGTTCTTGGGATTCTCTGGTGAGCGTTCCCACATCTTGAAGCATCGCTCCTGGCGTTGCTTTTGTTGTCGCTGAAAAAAGAAGAACACAAAATATACTAACAAAAATAGTAATTATGAGAACAATACCAATTATGACGAATAATCCATGTCATCCGAGTGTGCTACTTGTCGGGTCCTTGGCCTGCGACATCTTGAGGCCAGGGTTTTCCTGCCAAGTCATAAGGTCTGAGAGACACTTTAACTTTTTTTCGCGGGCTCTGCAGATAGGTATTGCACTCTTGAATATGTTCTCTGCCTGCGCTTTGATTCGAGAGGAAATCCTCTATATGAGAGCACCGACTGCTGCTCAATGAATTCGGATCACTTGGAGGAATGGATTTCTGCAGAAGCCCTTATTAATATCGCAATATAATAGCAGTGTCCATTTTGTTTTGAATTCCTTCAATGTTCGTATGAAGCAAATCGCCCATCCACTACTGACTAGCGAAGGTTCGCTTCAGGATTTCCCATCCAGATCCGAGAGTAGACCTCTTTCAGACAGAGGCTTGCAGCTATCCTGCTTGATGCCCTCAAGCTCCCTGGCTTCGAACTCCTTAGCGCCCATTGGCTAGGAAATCCTTCATGGTCTTGTGTGCATCTGGGCAGACCAACACCCTGCAAGGAGACCGGGGCCGCGACGGCATATGTCCTTAGCATCCGGGACTGATTCTGAATCCCATACTGTATCTCGAGATGAGCCCATAAACTCAATCTTACAACAAGGGCATTCCGATGCAAGCGGGCTCTGCAAAAGTCTTTAGCTGAACGTCTTCAGCTTCTCTAGTTGGGCTTCACTCTGTTGCATGCAAGGCAGTCAGTAATTGCTCCCAGACAGCATATACAAAAAGAACCTGCGACCAGTCTACCAAGAACATGCCGAAGTCTTTGAATAGGGGCTAGCATGACATTCATAGCCTCGACCATATAACCCCTACATAATCCCCATAGAATCCCTATACAATCCGCATACAACCTCTATATAATCCCCATACAACCCCCAAATCCCCATGTGACCCCTACATAATCCCCATCTAACCCCTACATAATCCCCTGGGTTGAGATGCATCTTGGACTTCTTCTCACCGCCGACATCCAACGCGCTCAAAGCAGCGTCGATGCCGCTGGCCTCGGCCAGGAGGCTCCAAGTCCAGAGGTCATTATATAGGGGTTATATATGTGGTTAGATAGTGGTTATATGGGGGATTGTCAAAATTCTGGTCCCTTGTTGGGTCCCTATTATAATACGGGGCCTAATACGGGGCCTAATTTAGGGGACCAAAAAAGGGACCATGATTTTGACAATCCCTCATATAGGTTATATATACAGTAGGGGTTATGATGGTAATATAGGGGTTATAGGAAGGGGGATTATATTAGGGAATATATCTTTGGACTGTATAGGACGCACGAGATGACCCAGCTTTGTCGACTCAAGACATTCTTTGGCATCTATCCATGCAACCAGTGACATAATAAACTCGCTGGCTCGCCGAGACTTGCCCCAAGCGCCGCACGTCCACAACCTCCTGGCACAGAGCTCAGTGGCAATCAACCAGCTCGGAAATGGCAGGGTTGGTTGGAACTGAAGCGCAGGGAGAAGGACAGGCGGATCCATCTTGTTCACTTCTTTTGTAGTTATGTGAACCACATCTTCTGTGACACCCAGCCGTGTCCTCAATTCGATTCGTGTTCGCCTCCAGCTTTGGCTGCGGCACAACCTGACTGAGGGTTTGACAAAGCGCGAATGCCAAACAGGCCACAGCGATATCGCAACCGTCTCGATCCGAAGGGGGTTGTTGGGGTACATGCGAGCCTGCCTCGGTCTTTTTTGTCTGTTTCTTGGCGGAGGCCTTGGCCGTCATAGCCATCAAGGCCTGGCAATCAACCCGCGACAGCCATTCAATCCATGAAATCCTCAATGCGAATACCTTGTCTGCTCACGCTTTTTAGCAAGCCTAGCTGGAGCGTTGGGCGGCCTGTCTTCTGGCAATCTCGGCTTGGGTAACCTGTGCTGGACATTCGCTCGAGTCAAAGGCAGCCCACGGCATGTTCTCTGCGCATGAAACGGTCATGCCTTGCCGTAGCCGCCAGCTTTCTTGTTCGCCCCCTTCGCGCTGGAATTGGCCTCTTCCTCGGCCTTCTCCATCTCCTGAGATCCGGTTCTCTGCATGCTAACCAGGGCGGCAGATTCACCACAGCTAGGTTTCTGTCAGTTCCAAGCGGCTTTCAGCTCCGCTTTTGCTGCGAGCTTGGCGTCTGCCTCGCGTTGCTACATGAAAGAGGAGCCTCACACTCCGCAGTTATCCGCAGTTATCCGCAGTCGCTGTCAACTCGAGCCACCCCTAGCCGTAGCTGGTGTTCTGCATACTGCACTTCCTATGCGCTTTGCCTTTGCAGCAGCATCCGCAGCCCTTGCAGCCTTCTTCAGGTTGCCTGCGGACAGGATGTGCCATGTGAGTAACGTGTACCCCATGGTTCCAGAGATTGAGCCTTTGTCTGTTTCAGCCCACGCCGCGTCTTCAGCAGCAGCCTTAGCTGCCTCCAAAGGGTGATGCACTCGGAATTACAGGACATCATACTCTGGTCAACAGCAACGGCAACAACTGCGGCCCCGTGCAGCATGCCTACCTTCTGCTGCAAAGCTAGTGCTTTCAACGCACCGTGAACAGCCCGAAACAAAGAGGTAAACTGATCCTTCATGGCCACTTCTTGCCAACCAGGCCCGCTCCCATACTAGAAACCTGTTGGACAGATCATTCGGTCCATGCATGGCCTGCCTCATCTTTGACCTTTGCCGCGGCTGCCTTCTTCTCTTTTGCGCTTGCGTCCCCAAATCCTCAAAACAGAAGGCACGGAGATAGCCGCTGTTTCTGCGTCGTTCGTCACATTTCTCACGTATTGCAATACAGATCACGCGGACGCACAGCTCCAACAAGCATGGTCTTGAGCTTCTCGCCCTCAAGTAGCTAAGCTTCAGGCCCATGAGGGCAAGGCAGCAGCAAGACTGTACTCAGTGCTATGGTGTTGGAAAATGCATGTCGAGTCTTCAAGCCAAAGGAGCAGATCAGGCCCTTGCCGAACCAGCCATCCAGCATGCACTGAGAAGTGCTCAAGCATCTTCAATGATGTTCCGGCAGGATCTTTTTTCGAACGAGCGGTTACGCAACTACTCGCGACTTTGCGAGCCGATTGCACTTGTTGGTGCGCGGCCATTTAAAAACCTGGCAGCTTCCGGTCCAGGGTTCTGTCGAACAGGAATTGGGACTATTGCAGGGAGTCAGACCTTGATTCGTCTTAACTTCTTCACAAGCTACTCGCATTAGCAGCTGCACTCAAATAATTTTACACATGTGCAAGGGACATTTGACAGCTATTAGGCAGGCAGATATGCAAATTCTGCACTGCATAAACCTCGTGTCTGTATGTTCTAAGCCATCATGATTGCGGCATCAGTTGCACTCCTTGACCGGAGCGGGCGTCTTACACAGTGCAGCACCTAGTCACAGTTTGTGCTGATGCCCGGATGCTGGCGTCGTCAAAATGTCCAGCATCCCGACGCAAACGGACAAACATGGACGACCTATACATCAAATAATACATAATAATACAATGGCTGCCTCCGGACGGAGCCGTCGATGCACAAACTGCGGCATTGCATGCTGTTGGCAGAGCCATCTACACTAAGCAAAACCTGCAGACACAAAAGCCTGCACAGATTGCACGCAGCGCTGCTTGCAAAGCTTCGGACACGCACTTCCTGCCTGTGGCTGCGGCTGCTATGCGATGTGTGCTGGATGCTAAGGCAGCAAACAGCTCTTAATGTGGACTGATTGAGCTGCAATATCGCCGCGAGCCGAAAGCTAAGTTCATTAATAGCAGACACGAGTATGCCAGGAGGATATTTCAAAAAGGTGAATGTCTCTTCTCGAGGCTCGGCTCGAGCCTGAGCCCCACAGGGCACTGTCCTGGCTACTCCCTGGACAGCTAGCACCAAGCGGTTCTGCCACCTTTCACTTGCCACGCATGACCCAAACCCACAGATTTGTAGGTCTGTCCTGTCAGCTGCACAAGCATACTCTGCCACTTCGAACACTTCAGCGGTCCTGGTGGCGCATCTTGTCTAGTACACGTTCGTCATGCAGATGGTGGCGCTGCACCTCAAATCAAGGCTCAACGTTTTTCAGAAGCAAGTGGCCTCGCTGATGGTAACGGCTTACAGAAGAATGCTGGGCTGTTGCAAAGCTCCTCACACAGAAGCCGGCGCTCTTGCAGCGGATTGAAACCACTCAGTTAATCATGCTCCAGGCGGCGCGTGCCCAGATATGGCCCGGCTCAACGATTGGCGGCAGGCTACTGCATATACGCATGCAGGTAGGTATGTATCTATCCACCTCCACGAGTCCTTCGATTTTGTGCAAGTCTGGCTACTTCAGAGAGACCATCCAGGAATCTAGAAGCTTTCTTCATAATTTCAGCGCTCCATCCTCGTGTCGGTCTGCCCTGTCTTCTTACAAATATGCCGGTTGCTAGTTGCAACGTTTCGGGGATGAAGGCAGTAGGCTGCATCATTGGATTGAAGATAGCGTGAAGACACCGGTCCCTTTGTGTTCCCAACTTGGTCTGTCTGGGTCATCGGCCACCATTCTTCAAGCCGTCAAAGAGCTTGAAGGGATCAAAACCCAGGGAGTACTCCCAGTTCCACCTGGTGGGATCAGAAACAGCAGGACTTCACATGAGGAAGTCGCCTGTGTTCTTGGGATGCGGCTCGGAGAAAGAGAAGATGTTGTCGAAGAAGTCATATAGGGTGAAGTCACCACCTGTTCTGTCCTGTTGGCCGACTCACTTACAAGACATCCACGCATCTTCTACATGATCGGTAGCTGCATCCAGCTTCCCGGCACGCTCCGCATGACTGATGCTCAAAAGGTTTTCTGTCTTGGGTTCCAATAAACAACGCAATCCGATTCGAGACGTTTAAGGTTGCCTCTGGTGGCATCCACCACCGGTCATGACATGTTTCTAGGTTGGCTCTGCACTCTCTGCCTGCCTCGTCATCCTTAGTTAACTTTATTTTGCCTTGCCAGCGTTTTTTAAGGGGAGGGTAACTTGTACCGAATGCATGTTCGCTAAAGCCAGAAATTGGGAATCAACGACAGCAATGGACCAGATAAGGTAAGGTTCAGTGAAGTTCTACGCTTTTCCATTTTGCCTTTCCTCATGACCATCTAGCAAGGCCTAACGTGAAATGGTGCCACTACGATCATCGGGAAAACTAAACGTTCGGGTTGTTGGAGGGAAACCAGTAAGGAACTTGTCAGAAGATGTAGGAAGAAGCAGCTGGACAGGTTGCGTTCTGCTGTGGCATTTGGTTGGGGGCAACCAAGATGTATGCTTGGTTGGCACTGTACACTACCCGGCAGTGGGCAGAAAAATCAGCTTCTCGCCAACTCAAGTGCAACAAAACTATCGTCCTGGATCCGGCCCTGGGTCACTCCAATAATGCCTTGCTGGGAAGGCAGTAGTAGCTCAATGCACCACTGACATCATGAACATCATGTCTTGCAGCAGAGTTGCTAGAGCCGAAGGAGTAGATAATCAAGCTCACCCAAAACCTGCTGATCACGAAGCTGAACTGTAAATAGTAGTGGGCGACGTTGCCCAGGGTACTTGAAAGAAGCTTCATAATTTGGCTCTGAGGGCAGGGCACAGTGACCAGGATGTTGAAATCAAAACCATCCTGTCGCGCGAGTGCGGCTGCACCATGCTGAGAACTAGCTTCGGGGTCGGCACGCTGAAGGCCGAAGACGAAACAACCCAGCTCCGAATGTCAGATACTAAATTGTACTAATAATAAATATATTAGACTATAATGTACTGTAATATACTATATTATAACTCTTTGGGCCTCTTTCTTCTCTGTCTTCTCTGGCACGGCAGGCGCAGCCCCATCCTGTGTCACCACAGAGCCAACTGCAAAGAGCAGATATGCAGGGAGCTCGGAGCCATGCTTGCAATGCAGCAATGAGGCTTGCATAGGTTGGAGCTTGTTGGGTACCCAATACCAGTATGGAGTTATATATTGGGGTTTATTATATTGGGGTTATTATATTGGGGTTATTATTGGGGTTGTTATATTGGATCTTAGATCGGTTGCTGATTCACCTCCCTCTAATTGCACCTTTCAGTAGAAATGCTGACCTGTCCAAAAATGCCCAGAAAACACTGGCCAGCAACAACTTCGCGGACGCGTCCCTGAATGACACCACACCTCCTCTTCGGACATGGCCATGGCCATCCGGAGGACTGCATCATCAATCTCCTTTTGTTCAGCTTTGCTCATTACATGCTACGATTCTTCGGCAGCGTTTCATCTTCTGTGACTCCGGTGTCATTGCAGCAGCACGCAATCAGTAAACCCAGTCCAAGGAACGCCCACTGGTCAGGATGTAACGTAAGGCCTTCACTGGGGCACCCCATTCTCTATAACCACCCGTCTTGCGGGGACGACTGCCATCACAGCCGGACAAGCTTGTGAACAAGGAAGATCCCGCAGTCAGTGGGCATCGGTAGGCATTAATGACTCATGAGTCTCACTCGGCCATCACATCAGGGTCCTTGTCACCACCAGCCTCTCACTTCAACAGTTGGACGAAGAGTTGAGTGATTGTAGATGCTTTGCTGTCTGACATGGAGTGCCCCTCCGCACTTACTGCAGGCTCCTGCACAATCTGACATACGCTCTCAGATGAGTTTAATCATGAAGTGTGCGAAGAGTGGTCGAACTGAAACGGGAGTCATCTACATGAAGGTGTTCGCTTGCCACAGTACAGCAGCTGGGCTGTGTCTCGTATCCGCAAAAACTGGACACCCCATCACCAAAGCTTCATGCTCCAACTCGGTGGAAGAAAAATACTGGAGACAGTTGCTTTAGCTTACTGCAGAATCCGCGTGGGCACCTAACGCGCATGAGCCCGCCTTCTTCTCCTCAGTGGTGGTGCTGGGTGACTCACTGCCACTAGCCCTGAGACCAAAACAATGGTCACATCTTGGCTGGGTCTGTCAAGCTTGCGACACGCATGCCTCCGCTGAACTGTCTGGCTGGAGACCACTGATCTTGGCGGAGGACCTGCGGGCAGTCGATAGCTGAATCTGTCCTTCGGCTGAGAGGGCTATAGGCTACTTAGTTACTTGCATCGACTGCAAGAAGTCCATAATGAAAGCAAAGCCAGCTCAGGTTACACATGCAACTTCTGAGGCCGGGACCGCAAACGAAGTCTAGCATGTTGGACCATCTGCACGCCGCAATGACCGCAAGAGCCTTGGTCATCAACGGTTTCCATGGGCCTCTCAGAGAACTTCAGAGCCTCACAGCCGTTTTTGAGGCAAACGCCAGCAGGGCACGGTCACATCGTCCATGCATTCGTCGGGTCATGGCGCCTTGGTTGGTACCGGGCCCGGGGCGGCCAGAACAATGCAGACATGTCTTTGTCTCCAATAAACGTCAGTGTTTACATTCTTCTCTGGGCCTCGCATAGAAGTCAACTCCTGGCTATGCCAGCAATCACCACACACCTGCCGCTGAAGCGCTCTCTCCGCCCAGACTTCGGCGGCTTGCGGCCTTCTACCCTCAAATGCTTGCGGATAGCAGATCCCAGTCTGCAGTGAGAAGCTCCCAACCTGATGAACTTGACTGAATGACCCTGAGCTCTGCTTTTGTGACCTTCTTTCCTTCTGAATGCTTTTGACTTGTTCCTTCTGGCTTCTGCGGTAGTGGCAGAGTCGAAGGCTTGGAACCTGCCTCCATAATCTCGGCAACGGAGCTTGCTTTGGCTCCCTGGAGCTGTCTTTGGCTCCTTTGTCTGGAAACGTCATCGGCGCGATGAGCTCAGTTGAAGTCATGGCCCCGTCAAGCCGAGCTGGCTGGAGATACGACGCTTCGATAGTCTTTGGCGAAATCAAGTTCCCCGTCTGAGGCTCCTTGAAATGTTAATACACCAAAGGCGTGCTTCATCAGCAAAAGCATGCACACTCATATCTCCAGTCATTGGTAATACGGGTTCACGGTGCTCATGAAGAGTGAGTGTATGTACATGGTCTTCCAGCACTCTGGCGGTCAATGAACGGGAAGCTGCCGCGATTGGCTCAGGTGGCTCGGAAGCTCTTAGGATCTCTGAGGTCTCTTGTGACACCGAGCAAGATCGAGTAGAGATTGATGACGTGGGGCGGACCTTCGCAAAATGGAGCTGCGCAACCCGAAGTGCACAGTCTGATACAATGTCCTGTTTGGTCAGAAGTTGAGGATAAGGTCATGGATTGCGACAAGTATTGCCTTGTTGCTTGGAGTGTGCAAGATGAACTGCCTCTTTCAGCCATCATCCGTGCAAATAACTCCAAGAATTAACGATCGCGTGTGCTAGAGCATGATGATGAAATAGCTCTTCTAAAGGACATGGGTCGCAAATGGCTGGCGATGCTGGGCGGCATCTGGGGTCTCTAACATTGTGGGGTGTACATGTCGTGCGATGTTGTGTTCCAGGAATGGCATCGTGACTGGAGCTGATGACCAGGTAAGAGAACTACCCTCAGAGCTTGGCGATTTCACAGCATGTGCATCACGAAGGCCGCCCAGCCTCACGATACTTTGTCAGCCAAGTTGCTCACTATTCGGGATACGGTTATAGCATTAGGGATAATGGAGAATCAAATGAAAAGACAATGGAAAACTAAATGGAAAGTACTTTAGCATAGGGTTTACAATGTGTCTAGTTCCGCAATCAGCTCATCTGCAATGCAAGCGAGAAGCCTGACCGAAGTCGAGAATCTGTCGTCAAGTGGTTATCATCCCCTGCTTTCACCTGCCAGTTGTGTAGATCTCAACTCCTCTACGCATATATCAATAGCAAAAATTAAATGCAATAATAATAGTAATATCAGTAATACTACTAATACTAATGAGTGTAGCAATAATAATAAGAATAATAGCAATACTAATTTTTATCAATAATACTACTACTACTACTACTACTATTACTACTACTACTACTACTGCTACTACTACTAGTACTACTAGTACTACTACTAGTACTACTACTAGTACTACTACTACTAATAATAATAAGTATACCAATAGTAAGAATGATATAGCTCGCTCCCCAGTAGGCCTTGGTGGAAGGGGCTTCTTCGTGCCATTCTTAGCCTTTTGCCTTTTTCTTTTTCTTCTTATCGCCGTCTTCATCCGATGCGAGAAGTAAGTTCAAGGCCTGGCAGTTGCAGTGTGACAGGAAGCCCTCAAGCCAGGTCAAACCAGATGCTGCAGTGCGGGGCCTGCACTTTCTGTGACTGCTGTGTCACAACATCCCGCAGCTCCTTCATGTCTGCCTGTCCACATTTTTTGTCTGCCCGCTCTGCGGAGCAGGCAGCTCAACATGGCCTTCATTCCGCGCTCCGTCTGCACCATGATCTCTGTGTCTTCTGCCTATGATGATGTTAACTAGATTGATGCAGGCTCGTCAACTTTGCGCTTCACCTATTTGCACTGTGAAGACGCTGAGGCTGCAACCATGGCGTTGATCTTTTCTTTGAACTCATCCAGATCTTTGACCTAGGTTTCTTGCAATGGTAGACTGGTGCAGAAGCTTCGCAGTAGTTTCCTTTTTCTTTTCCATTATTCCTATATATACCTCTACATCCCTATATACCCCTACATGACACTATATAATACTATATAAGACTATATAATACTATATAATACTATATAATATTATATAATATTATATAATACTATATAATACTATATTATCCTATATAAGCCCTAAACAACACCCTAGAAACATACTGCGCAGGCGCGCCCGAACTTCCCTCTCGAGGTGCTCTTCTCCAGCATCACTTGACCTCACCGGATTCAGCGTCAGGGTGACAATATTACCTTACTGGCTCTTAGTAGGGAATTATTCTTTTTAAGGAATATAACATACTCCCTATACCTATATAATCCCAAGATAATGACTTCCCATATTCCCTACTACCCCCTAAGTTACTGTCAATGCACACGAAATGAAGGCCAAGTCCAGGGCTCCATGGCAATGCAGCGAGCTATGGGGAAGAAGCCAGTGTTGTTTTCCTTGATCTGCTGCCTTGGACATGCATCACAGATCTAGAGCCATAATGCTGGTAATCATTCTCATAATCCCATACATGACCCCAGTTTCCATCTCTTCTCCATTTGATTCTACACAAGTGGTACCCTAGACGCTATGGGCACAGACCTTTGAACAGTGCAATCTCTCAAGGTTCAGGCTTTACGTAGCTTTCCGGGCCGTTCAGCTCGGCGGGGTCTGTCTCTTCCAGGTAGAGAAGGAAGCGGGCATAGGCCCACATGTAGTGATCCTGATGCGGCAGTCTGCTTCAGGATATGAAATGCTGAGTAAGCAAAACATACAAAGCAGTCCTTCAAGATGTGGTTCCTGGCAGGCATAAAGTGCTCAAGAGACATGCCAGTTGCACCAAGTGTGCAATCAAGCAAGAGCAGCTCAAACTTCACCCGCTTGCGCTCCAGCTCAGACCTGACTTCCAAAAAGCGGATTTCCCTGTCCGCTCAAGTGAAGATATTTTGTGCTGGATGGAGGACTGCGCAGAGACGAGGATTGAACATGCAAAATGCTTGCCCCCTGTTCCTTGGTCGCCTGCTTGCTCAGCGAACAAATGAAGCAGCTAGATTTCATCTTGTCCTTTGCATGAAGAAGGTAAGCAGGAAAATGTCTGCACATCTCCCGCTGGCAGGGTGAGTGTCCTCGATGCTCTTCTGCTCTTCCTTTAAGTCTGCAAATGCATCGATGATGATGCCTGCCAGTAGATGTCGTCAGACGGTTCGTGCTGTCCCCGCTTGACAAAAAGAAGATCAGCTGTCCTGATATGATTGCTGCCATGATGAGAATGATGACCTAGCACGGATAGCCTTGCTTGCTGATGACAAGATATCAGAAGAAAGGATGAGGCCAAATTGTAGATGTAGTCGAACGTGAAGCGGGTGTAGGTGAGCTTTGGGCTGCCCCACACCTGTTGTGAGGCACTGCCGTATACTGTCGTCACGAGAGGCTCCACTTGAGAGTTTCTTGGTACGGAGTTGTGCGAAGCTGAGGTTGGTGCTGGGGCACTTCTGAAGCCGTAGTCGAAGTGGGCACGAAGGCACTCCATCCTGCAAGAACAGAATCACCTTTCTGTCTCCTGGAGACTGGCGCTTGGGTTGGCAATGCCAAGGCTAGCGCAAGGTGGAACAGCCGGAGGTGTCCTGAGCACAGACAAGAGGGGAGATTGGACGCATCGGAACTACACAATCTTGCACACAATATTGTAATTGTAATCCGCCGACGCCCCCGGCCTCTAGCGGTAGGGGGAGCAAGACTCTACCCACCCCCCCTGACCGGCGCTCCGCGCCCAACCCGTTATTGGGCGGACAGCTCTGGTGGAACTATGCGGGAAGCATCTCGGGTTTGCGAGAATCACGTGACTATCAGGGGGGTCCAGGCTAGTCCCAACGGGGTTGCGAGTAATGCATCTCCCCACAACCTTCTGTTCCCCCCCACCCCCCGCCCTGACCCTCGGCCTCCTGCCCTTTTTTTCGACCAACAGCTGAGGGATCACGATATTGCCAGACAAATGCCTAGGGAGATCCCAGGTATTGCGCAGGGCTATATAGGGACATTGTATTTCAGAAGGTCGTTCAGGACTCTACCCACCCACCCAGGTGCAACAGTGTGGAAAGCATGGGAGTATTTCTGGGGGCTCTGAGAAATTTAGGGCCCGGCACCCTCTGCCCGCCCAGCCCAGCCCCTCCCTCCAAAGATTTTCCGCGCCACTTCACTCCCTCCTTCAGCTAGAGGATCCTGTAATTTCCATACGAATGTTTGGGGAGATTTGCAAAAGGCCATTCAGGTATTGCACAGGGCTCTATAGGGATATTGCATTTTAGAAGGTCATACAGGGCTCTGTAAGGGGTCTTATGGGGAGATTATATGCTAAGATTATGTAGGGATACTATATAAGGCGATTGAAGAATATGATGGCACTAGGAAGTGATAAGTTGATTTGAGGCTGTCTTGTTCCAGGGTGCTTTACAGGCACGCCGGCCGAGGCATCGCGCGTTAGCGTTAATCCTTTTAGTACTATTACATCATCAGCACTACCATTATTGTTGCCACTGTTACTTGCCATTATCATCATTTTTACTACTTTTATTCTTGTCAAGTTGTCCTTGTCAGCGAATCCATAGCCTTGACTGAAGAGAAGGAACCCCGCACCTGAGTTTTCGCATGGGCATGAGACGGCAAGATTCGTAATAATGAGAATGGTAATAGTAAATTACAATAGTCCCCAAGGTGGGTGCCAACTGCAATGTACTGGATGCAGAAGCCCAGCACCATGGTGCCGGCGACTTGTTCCACACCTTTGGACATGTCAATGGAAAGCAGAATATTGGGGTTTTATTGGGCAATGCAAACTAAAAATGGAAACTACTATATATAAGGATAATGGACAAGAAGATGGAAACCACTATCGAGGGTTTGACGAAAGGGCCCTGACTTTGTGTCATTGACTCGATCACTTTCGCCAAGATGGGGATGCGCATGCACAAGTCGATTGTGTTCACGGCATTGAAGAGGAAGCTGACCTTAGGGCTGCTGTGCGTGGAATACACGAGAAGGCGCTCAAGTGGTGCACAGCAACATCTGGGCATCTCTGATTTCTGACTACTGTGGTGACTTACATGTCTTGAATGTTAGAACTAGACCAGAGATTGCTGGAAAACTGCTTGCATTTGCGTGACGCTCTCTTCTCCAACCTATTCGTAGCAGTGGGATTTAGGATTTTTCCGTGCCACACACGTGCTAGAAAGGCTGCTTGCTACTGAACGGCACCTGCACTGTTCTGTGTCCCACACGAAGAGTCCCAAAAAGGAGAACGCCAGCAGGAACAGCCTTTTGCAAGTTGAATGCATCACAAGCCATACTAGGGATAATTCTGGAACTGTTAATAACATTGCTATCTATTACTATTACTAGTGTTAATATTACCATGAGTATCTATCATTACTACTATTGCACCTGGCTCGGAAAAGTTGAGCTCTGAGAGTCGCTCGTGTAGAGAAGCTGCCCATCACTGCAGAAGAACTTGGCCTGTAAAACCAGGAGGACTTACTGTGGGGTTAGCAGGGAATAGGGGATTACACTACTATTACTACTATCACTAGTATGACTACTATGACTGTTATTACTACTATTACGTACTGTGCGGTTTGTAGGGAATAAGGGAATAGGGGCTTTAGGGTCTATAGGGTAGGGAATAAGAGAATTTATCATATAGGGACTATGTAGAGATTATGTTCCCTTGTTCCCTGGTAAGCCCCAAACCCTAAACCCTCTATGTATATATATATATGTATACAGTAATATATTCCCTTATTCCCTACGAAGCACCAGTAAGGACTGGCGTTGCTCCACGACTGCTCAGACGTTGAAGACTCTTAGGCCAGCAGGTTAGGTTCATAGTAACAATAAGAATACTGATTGTAATAATAGTAATAACAATAATAGTGATAGTAATAAAAATACTAATCGTAATGACAGTAATTAGTAGTAATACTACTAATGGTAATTACCACAACACTAATAATATTAGTAGGAATAATGATAGTAATTCATAGTAATTCCATACATTGAGCCTGCAAGGAAAGCCTGTAGAGCGGATTGTTCCTCAGCGAGCCCACCGCTGCTCGGCGAACTCTGCATTTTTGTCATGGTGATCTGGACGTGCGGACGTGCAAGAGACATGAGCCATGAAAGTCGAATCTGCACTGTAAACACCGGTGGCATCTGAGCAATCGTCAGTTGGCTCTGTAGTTGCGGGTTCTCGTCCCGCCATTTATCCACCTGCGACTGTACTGATTTCAATTGGCCCGCATTTCGCATGCTCCCCTGCTATGCAGCTTGGCTGTCAGACAGGCATTAAGTTCCAGGCCTTCGTCTCAATGATCCAGCCGCTGTATGAGAGCACATAGAATCCAAGCCACAGCCTCTGAAATGCGCCATGACATGTTGACTCAAGCAACAAAATCGTACCTTCACCAGTTGCTCATATTCGCTGTGGTCCGCACAGTGACAGGCTGAAGTGAATGCCAGCGAAGAAGGTCAGAATGTACACTGAAAGCTGATTCCTAAGGCAACATGACGTCCCAGTCGAATGAAGATATCTTCTTATTTGGCTGTGGCTCGGATAGTGGATGTCTTGTTCAAGAATTGAATGCTCGGAGTAAGAGCCTGAAAGCTGCACATGTACAGCCGCACATGATAATGACAGTAAAGCAGGCAATCTGTGCAGGTCCGTATTCTGATTCCTGAGCCGACAGACTCGTGTACACGAAGACGAGGATGCTGTTGATGATTGCAGTTGTCAACATTGTCGAGTTGATGCAGAGCCTCATTGGTTCAAGTGGTCGCACTCGTGTCACGCTCTGGAAGGTGAAAGCTGAAATGTGCTCAACAGTAAACCACATTGAATTTCTCCAGGTCGCGCGATGACTTCTCCAGCTCTGTTGAAGGGCCAGGGCCTCCACAATATCAGCTGGAAAGAGGACAGCATCTCGCATCCTCTTCAGGCAAAGTTCTGAGATCCTGGCTTTCCTAGAAGGTCGAACTGCTTCTGCACAAAGGATATGTACCTGTTCCGTGTCAATGACTTTTTGTTAGCACATGGTAACCCCCCCCCCCTCCGTGCAAACGGTAAACAGCTACGTGTATCTACATGTAGTCAATGTAGTCCCATAAACTGGGATAACTAAGCATGCCAGGCGCACTCTCCGTTCACCAAGTCTGCAAAATCGTCGATCTGTGCCTTCCAGAAAGGACACCATCCCCTGCGCTCCTCGAAAACATGCTTTCTGGATGGATGGCCTCAGGCGAAGTGCGCTTCACGTTGACCAGGCACTCCTCCTGCCTGAGTTTGCAGCAGGGCGCTGGGCAACCGGAGAATTTCAGCGACATGTCCGAGCAGTCGGAGGGAACACAGTAAGGCCGCCGCCACTTGTGCACCAAGGAATGGTTCTTCAGAACCCTGATGGCCTTCCGTGCAACGAAGCACCGCAGCACGCTTCAACACGTGCACCAAGTAGCTTTGAACGAGCAGGCCTTTGGCACGAGGAAGTATACCCGCTGAAGTCGAGATCCTCGCACTATTTCGACCTTGCCAGAGCTGTTTCACATCCTATACTGCACACTCTTCCGTAGCTCCTGCCTGTCCGAACAGGAAGTGCAGGTACTTTTCCCCCAGCATCCTCTGCACCTTTTCCAGAAACCTTAGCTTCTACAAATCAAAGGACCTGCATTGCAAAATTGAATGCCACCACTGCAGACTCTCTGGCGCCGGCCGGTCAAAGATTTTGGTTTTTGCAGCGCCCCATTCCACTCGCGTGTAGACCTTGATTAAAAGGCTGAGACAATGACATGTTCTGTAATGTTCCAGCTCACTCAGATGCTTGCTGGTACGTCAGGTGGTTGCTCGATTTTCACTTCACGGAACAGCTGCGTCTTCGTCCTAGGGCAAGGCCGATGTAACAGCAACAAAAACTGGCAAAGAAGCGCCCAACCCAGAAGTCTCGCTTCAAGAATCTTCTCATGCTGAGCCCATCGCTCGGGTGCTGTGTACACTGCCTTTGAAGACATAAAAAGTTTCCACGCTTGTGACGATGAGGCATGCAAAGCACGGCTTGATGCAGGGCAGGAGGTAGAACACAGAGCCAGAGAAGGACACCTACCACACTCTCGCTAAGGCTTCCGCATGGAAGAGCGAGTAGCAGAGACCACAAATCTTCAAGCAGTCCTGAAGCTTTGGTGCATCACGCAGGCTTGCTAGGACCTGTTTGCAGCTCCTCGTACTGCTCATCAAGCGTATATGTCAGACAGGCCTGATTGCCGCAAAGTTTTAGGATGCTAACCAAGCGGCGGATACTTGAAACGGCTGATGTCTGTTGACTTCCTTAAACCCAGGCAATTTGGGCTGACAGGAGGTGATGGGCCTTTTCCCGCTTCGGCCGGATGATCTTTTCGTCGGTCTCCTGCTCGTCTTCCGCTGCCTTCAACGGTGGGCTTGCCAAATGCCCGGATATGTGAGCAGGGAGAAAGAATTGAAAATGTTGGATGTCAAGTTTAGTTCTGTCCATGTTCTTTTCCCTTGTATAAGTAAGAATGAAGGGGTCGAAGGTAGTTGAAAGAGATTGCAGGCTTTCTGTACCCTTTTTTCAGGTTGCATGTTCAACATCCAAATTGCAACTCTGAACTACGTCACCTGCACATGTTCACTGCAGCACCCGACGGCTCTAACAATTTGCCTTCAATCCTGAAACCTTGTCTCAAAGCATGAAGTCCGGAAACAAATTCACTGAAACGTCTTGCTTGCCTGAAATTGCCCTTTTATAGCCTGCCCATGTCCAAATGCTGCTGGATGCCTCTACTAGGAATAGTATGGGGCGAACAGGCAAGCTCGTCTGAGTATCCTGAGGGGCTTCATGCCAGACGAACTGTAGCTCAGACAAAGATGTTGAAGGCATCTATACCACTGCTTGCGCTAGGTAGGCCGTACCGAACGGCATACGACGAGAAGGCAATTAAATGGCAGCCACCAACCCCACAACGACGTTTATCCGCTTATCTAGTTCATGATCCCACGCAACCCTGCCGTTCAAGTATGTACAAGATAAAGATTCCCTTCCTCTCCACACTATGGCAGAATCCTTTCGAGGAACAACCAAAACGTAAGCGCGCACCAACTTTTCTAGCAGCACAGCTTGTGGATTGAGCGCACAAGAAGCAGCGCGAAGAAACTGAGCACGTACACGCTAGTGAGCACCTCCGCAACCGATGACTCCGACGGAAAGTACACCTGGGTTGGCACATGTTGGCACTGAACTACAACCTCATAGAATCCTAGGTCCTAGAATTTATCGGACATTTCCTCCGTAGGGAAAGTAGAACATGTCCCAAAAATTGGACCTCGACACTGTAAGCTGCGCAGAGCTTTTGACGGGAATCTGAAGGAAGGAGCCAGATAAGCTCCCAGATTGATGGTCAAGTATGGATTGCGCTGCAGGTGCAGGTATGGATCGCACTTCAGACGCGGCCTTCTGTCCAGTCTGGAAGGGCCAGTAGCACAAGATATCGACCCAAGGTCCCCAGGGATCGTTTTTCCTCACAGGGTGGCCCCAACCAGTGAAATCTCCACCGTCCAGATGCTCGTACCACGCCTCCAGAGCTGTAGGGGCCCCATCTCGCAAGTGCTCCCAGTTTGGGCTCGCATTATAGCAGATCGCGCCCATGCGCGGCATCATCCTCAACAGTTCTAGAGGATCTCCAGATTTGGCTCGCTTCATAAGCCAGGGACTAAACTCGTATGTCACGTAGCGCACGCGACCCTCTTGCAGCAGCTCCTCACAGCCGCGCAAAACTTTCAACTCGAAACCCTGGGTGTCAATCTTTAGGTACTCGACGTGTTCTAACCACTTTGGGAGGAGCTTGTGCAAAGGCAGCACCGGCACCTCGACGTCACCCTTCTTGCCATCGTTAATCGATAGATCGAATGCTGGCCCTTGCGACTGTGCGAAGGTCACTGTCATCTCCTCGTCCGAGATGGCCGCGTTGAAGACATACGAGAAGCCGCCGTCGCTTGGCGGCAGTGGCAGATCTGGCACAACCCACTTCCCTCCATCTTTCTGCAGCTCTACAAAACGGTACCTGTTGTCGTTGGCCACCTTGTCTCTCAGTCTTTTTATGTTTGCGGGCAGCATGTCAAACGAGAATACTACGAATCCATGGCGGACTGCAAGATGCGTCTCTTCAGCAGTGGGGCCCAAGCCGATGTCGATCACGAAACGGCCTGCTCCTTGCGGATCCTGCAGAAAGCCAGGCATCTTGCCGTTGCCCCCAAAGCACCCTCGCAACTCTTCGAAGATGCCGATCTCGCCATTGGCTGACTT